TTTACGTATCTTGTAAGTTGTATTAGTTCTGATCATAGTGTGACAGATGAAGTCAATGCACGAATCTGCAAGGCTCGGATCGCGTCACATATGGCGTCAGAATGGTTTATCCCTGAATCTGAAGGGACGTGTGTATCAGGCTGCAGTATGGGCTATTTTTGTATGGCTGTGAGACTTGGCCTTGGCGGAATCAAGACGTCTTCAGGCGTTCGACAATCGTTGTCTTAGAACCATAGTTCGTGTGGGTTGGTGTCGGCGAATCCGTAATGAAGCAGTTGAAAAGCGCGTTTTCGGTTCTGCAACGAGTGCTTCCATTGAAGAATGTGTTCAAACCAGTACCTGCGTTGGTTTACACACGTGTTGCGTAAGCCAAACCATCGTTTGCCGAAGAGAGTGCTGTTTTCCACGCCCAATTCAGAGTGGCGTAAACAGAGAGGTGGCCAACTCTTGACTGGGTAGAGGAGTATGAAGGAGATTACGAAACGCTTTGGTGCTGTCGGTGCTTCTCGCCTTCCAGGATGGGGACCGCGTGATCCTCACTGCGCCTGGTTGGAGACACTACAATATATGGCTACCAACCGACGTCAGTGGCGTTCTTGTTGTCAGTTTTTATCCAGATTGCGTGAGTGAATATCTAGAGGTGTAGGCCATTCATTATGGTTGCGGTAAGCGATCACTAAGTCCGCTCCCCGTCCACCTTTATTTTTTTCTTTACAATAAGGCTTTCAAATAAATCATGGTTGTAAGGCAGTGAGGCATCGGTGTTGAACACTGATGTCATGCTGTCGATAATGATGATGAATGCAAACTATACTAAATAATCTAAGTAATTCTCCCTAACGGTTTCACATTTGCTTCACACCTGCAAGACATAGAGTGATGCTACAAAATTGACGAGCTCAAACCCTAATCCCATGCACGCTGATGAGCGAATTAAGGTAACAGACCAGGGCAGCCGTATCAGTTCAGGTGGTCTCACCAAAGATCACATTCCTATCCGAATTGGGAAGGCCAGAGCAACTTTCGTGAACCTTCGTCACCTCTGGCGTAGGCGTGACATCAGCCTATCCGTCGAGGGTCAAGTTTGTAGTGGTGCGGCGCACTCCACTTTATTATACGGATCAGAAACCGGCCGCTGCGCGCCGAAAACTGCCGGAGTCTGGTGGAAAAACGGAATCACTAATGCGGCGTGACGCCCTGCTTCGAAATCACCGCAAAGCACTGATATGGGGAGATAAAAGGCACCGTCAGTGGACGCTATGAGATTCTGTTGGGAATACAAACATCCCTAAAAAAACTCTGTATTTTTATGTGTTAGCGAACTTTCGGCATCTTCAAGGTCAAACTATGAATATATATACATATGCATTGTCATTTTTCCCACTATCGCCTGTTGATTGCGTGTTGTTGGATCATTAAAGTTTGTGTCCGAGGTTTTCGTCTTCTTACTATCCGCTGTGCTAGGAGTCTGCATCAAGCAACATAGCTGGAAATAGAATATTGCCACAATCTGCATAGCATATGGTTTGCTCGCTGCGTGATCGAACCGTAACAGATTCATGTCTAACCCAAATCTCTTTGCAAACAGGTCAATCGGTTGCGAACAGTTAAGCATGATGTACCACCCATTCCAAACACTAACCAACCGTTCTCAGAGGAAACTACCGGTAATCAACAAACTGATATGTCTCAACCTTTTACAAACCGATGCCCCTACGAATCTCAAAGTTCCCCGCTAAAAGTACTTTGCTTTAACGTGAAGTGTCTTCTCATTCAGATCACGAGGAAGCTTCTCCCACTGAGGCATAACCAACACTCGGAATAGATAAAATACCATTCCAGAGTGTGAATATCCTTGGCCGAACCACTGTCAGCGTATTATTCAAGTCTCAGCGAGCGATATGTTCTCGAAATATGGAGACCATCAACTATTAGCTCAATCTACAAGGGAAGGAACAGGACCCACCAACACACCAACCGAACACTCTAATGCTTATTCTATAGTACATATGTCCGTGCTGGCAGCTAAAGTTTCGGTCATTAGAAGTGGATTCCACAATCGATTGATTCATGGGCTTAAGTTAGTATATGGTCAAGCACATGTTTCCGGAACCTTCAGATGACTTTTGGTCTCTCTGTTGGTTATTTTTATTTTATTTCGGCTATATGCGCCAGGATGAGCAAACTCCTCGAATGTTTCGAATGGCAGCCTGTCAAACGCCGTTGGCTGCTGACAAAGCTCTCGCGGATATCGATCCGGCGTTGGTTCCATGGGAGAAAATAAATAAATCGTTTGTCTGTGCGTGCACTCCTGAAGTTGGGACAAGTCCAAGTTGACTGGACAGGACTGGCAGATAGCTGACTGGACAGTCTAGATATATCAGCTGGATTCGAACCAAGGACCTTCCGCTCAGAGACTTTTCGCCTTAACCCCTGAGCCGAAGAAACCCACAGACCCAGACGTTCAACGTCGGCTGAACACCTCGACGAGTACAGTATTCTTGGTACAGCCTGGAGCAAGAACAGCTCCGACAACTTCCGCATGTGTGCGGCGAAGAACGTGTTCAAAACATCGGATTCGACATCGAATCCCACATGATAACTCGAAGGTTGAAGTTTTTTGCCATACATGTGGACATGCCCTCTCGTAGTCATGTAGTAAGGTCTTAACAAACTGAGTAGTTCCGAGGTGATGCCATTCTACAATGCCTCTTAGTTCAGAGTCAAGCGCCCTGGGAGGTCTATGAAGCAGGAAACAGTTGGCTGCCGATACTTATGTTGTTCTAGACCACGCCATTGAGTGACAATAAGGTCGGTGCAACCCCTTCCTGGACGACAACCTGTCTGGCTTGGTTTAGTTCGCGTCTTTCGCCAGTAAAGAGATCCGTAGGGTGGTAAGTAGTAGGCCAGTAGGCCTACCACAAGCAAGGTTGTCAGTTCTTATGTAAAAAGGGGAAAAGGTGCTCCAATCGGAAGAAAAGCTTCTCTGTACCATAGTGTACAAAGCAATTCACGGACTGGCGGGAGAAGGGTGGTGGTGCATGTATCGTGTGTTTGTGCATGGCCACCATCTTCACCCGCGGGCTTTAAGTAATCCTGTCCACCGATAACCCAAGTTAGGCCCTTTTTGTAGCACCCTAATAAGTGTGATACGCCAAAGAGGAGTCAACAGCAGGCGGGGACGCATATGCAACTGAGAAGTTGCCCATCGGAGAAGTGCTCTATTGGTGTCCGGAAGGATCTGGACAGATGCAATGCGTGGAGTAGGTTGAGCGGGCGGTCGTTTTCCGGATGCTTGTCACAAAAGACGAAATTATTTCGCATAGCCACTGTCACTTAACGGCTTCAATACTGGTCGCTATCATGGTCCAGCAGACATTTCGGTCGCTGTTGAGCAAGTGTGAAGTACCGGGGCGCGTTTGACAATCTCACCCAGAAAGCTAGTTTGGACAACCGCATGGTGCGGTACAAGACCCAGTCATTCTGCCGGCAGTGCTAGTGGCACTATCACGAATGGCACCCACTATATGCGGACACTACTGAAATCACTGAAAATTACAGGACATGATTCGAAGTTTCGCGGAGAAAGCCAGATATTGTTGCTTGTTCGGACAGTTGAGAAGGACAGTGTGGCATTTGTCTATAGTGTGAGCCAGTCCAGCTGTCGGATGCAGCCTAAGCTTTGTCCACACGATTCTTCTTGGTTCTCCACTTCTATCCTTACGCAAGAACACAAGTCCCCAACGCATGATGCCCGTCTAGGTCCTGCTAAGATGTAGCAAATCTGGTGAGCTGTGTGGACATCGTTTGTGTACCAAATTAACATTGGGGTGATAAAAACGCTCGTTTTTGGCGCACAACCGACTGGTCAGTGAATTTGACGATCCTATCACTATTTTGAGAGCAAGCCAAAACCATACTTCCAAAAAATGTGGTGCGCTGAGACATCCAAAGGTCGTGGGATATTCCAGTCACCAGCGGCTACATGCACCTCTAACCCTGGTACTTCATCAATAGCGGCCTGGAACATGTCACAAAACTCATCGATTATGTGTTGCTCGAAACCACGTAGCTGCATGTGTACGGTTACGACGGCGATGTTAAATGGTGGGCTTTTGAGCCTTGTCAACGCGGATTTTGAGTGTATGCATCCAAATGCCGGGAGCGTATTTTGCACCATATTACTAAGCGCAAAGGCCACGCCATATTGACCAAACTTGTCTTGTGGGCCACTATCGCGGAAACACAGGAATCTTACTGTTCCAGAAGTACAGACAACCGGACGTCAGATCAACAGGTTATATCTGCCGCATAACCGTAAAGAACACATGGTAGTGGCTTGGCGCCCAGCATCAAAGAGTCCTTACAGCAGCGGTCTTTCCTGTCTAATATTGCTGATATCTAAATTTACTTCAGTGTGCATTCCGACTGCGAGTTGGACTTCAGTTGTGGTGCGCTACCTGATTGCAGTTCACTCTACACTCCATGTGTCTATATCTCTATAGTTGTTAGCTGGATACATATTCGTGCCACGACCGTTTTTCTCGGCACACGCTGTGGTCGTGTCGCTAGCCGCAACTTAATCGGTTGTTGTACTGGGTTACGATTAGCGTTACGCATTTGATAGATCACAAACCCCGTAAATAACAGTGCCAACTATAGCACTAAATTACATTTGAACCTCCGAGTCTTATACAATCATTTCCCAACTTGTTTTCTGGGAAAGCCGATGTTGAATCGATCATTGAAGTCGACGTGGAATTAAGAGCCGCTGATTACAGACGTCATGAAGTAGATACGCCTCTACAGAAGCGTTCATCCAGGCTTTCGTGGACAGATCTATGAAAATGAGCCCTGTTCCCTATGGGATATTACATAACGGGTCGATCAGTGTTTACTACTGCCATGGTCATTCAGGGAATGGGAGCCAACTTATTATTTGTACTGACTACCTACACTTATGGAGAACATCTTTTGCTATGAAACGGTGTGATACTTACCCAAAATCCTCCGCACTGGTGATAGTTGTATATGTCCCGAAAAAATTGGTCTTTGTATCTGCCAGGGTGCAGAATGGGGATAGATAGGGGTGTTTCCTCAACAGCATCTGGCAACGGTTGATAGTGCGCTCTTGAAGGAGTGGTGCCGCCCATCACGAGGAGAGTAAACACTCGGTATCGCCAGCGCGGTGACAAAAAGACCTAGACGACCAAAGGCTCCGGCTACAGTGCATACGCACAAGGCGTACCACCAACCAACAGAGTGTGAACTGACCTTCGAGGTCTAGTATGGTGGTTGGTTTTCGTATGTTCCATTGGCGGATTTCTGACCTAAGGCGGTTCCGCATCCTGCGAAACGCCAGCTCATCCCTGTGGGCGACGGCTAGACGCACACCCGAAATTTCTCTGAAACCGTGGTTCCAAGGAGGAAAACTTTAACATAAAGTTTTAACATTTGACGGTAATTTTTCGGGCGTATGATATCTTCCCAAACGGCCGCAGTTTTGTTGAAAGTTGTTTAAACCTACTCAATCCCCACGATATTCAAGGCCCGCGATATTCATATTTTAATGGCTGCTATGGCTGAGCACGTGAATGCGGAGGATGATTGTGTGAATTTAGCTCGTCAAAGTTTTTTTCTCATTCAATGCATTTCAAGTCGCTTTGAAAGAGAACCGGGCGGAACATTTCGTTGTTTTAGCCCTCTTAAACTCCAAAAACAGCATCAATTCGCCACTTTTGTATGAAAAAGCCTTCTAACGTTGCAGCAGACATCCCTGCAGACGAAGCCGAAGCTGCGGAATTCGTTGCACTTAGTAAGTTGATGGTTGATTGTGTGTACGCGGTAGCACATGTCGTACTGATTATCCGGCAAGGCTCCATGTTCGCCGGCACCATGACTGCTTGATGGTTACTTCCTACCACCTGGAGCACAATCATCCACGCAGCAAGTTTATTTTTGACAGTCTCCCCATCAACCGGCGACTGACAAATGATGAATTAAAGGAGTGTTGTACCCTTTTGGTGCTCCGTCATCGGAGATTCGGCAGTATGTCGCCGACCAGAAAGGTACTCACTACCAAGGATGTGCGTAACTATCGCGTCAATTGTCGGCGTCCATTGTTAAGTAGGTCGCTGGTTACCTTACCTTCGGTTTCTTAGATGACATTTCATCCATCATAGCCAAGTTTCGAGAGTGCGGTCGCGCGCTACTGGTGGTATCGGAGGTTGGCAGATAGAGTCACCTGTGCTTTTCTCAAACGCAGCAGATAGCACTCTTTAGACGTTTCCCGGACGTTGTAAACGTTGATGCTACACACGGTACTAACCGTCTTGGGTGGGTAACTTTAGAGCCCCTGACGTCCGCTGTTAAGGTACAAGCTTTATACTCTCCTCGCGACGGAGTGCATGGGTGTCGGTCGACCCGTAATTTATGGCTTTGTCAAAAGCGAGCATTTTGCGCAATTGCGCAAGCTATTCAGCTTGTTCAAGGATATGGTGGGTGGACACTATGAGGTCAAAACGTTCGTCATGGGCAAAATGACTTCGCAGATGCGGGCCGCCAAAGCTATATTCGGCCGGTCATTCTACCTACCGGTCAGCTAAAAGAGCTTGCTTTGATGTTGATCTTGATCGGACCATGGGGGACAAGCCGAGTCTCCCTCGTAAGGCAGTCGCAATCAAACTGCTTTGTCCAATTTCGGAGTTGATGGAGACCGGTAATTTGAGGCCTAATTTCTTAGCATACGCTTTGCAGACCTCGCTTTCGAATCCCGTGATGACGAGGAATTCATGTGATTGTAACTCGAAGGCCTCAAATGCCGAATCAATGAACCCATGGCAATCCGCAACGACTATACATTTATCCCTCATCACGGTAATGGGAATTATGAACCACTAGGTAAGCAAACAAATAAAATTCCATTACATCCAGATGCTTAAATGCTGTTCCAGAAGGTTAATTGCTTGCCCATTTTCCGTTTCAGAATCCTTGTCCCGTGAAGTGGATCTTAAGAACATGAAAAATGGAGCGACTACCAATTAAGCTTGTATCAGTGATGCCAATGAATAAAATGCAATTCGCCAATGGTGTTTTCGTAAATTCATGGCGGGCGCATCATCAACGCGTGGAGTTATGAGTATGGAGCGCCGTCGTTGGCGATTGTATTACGTTGCCGTGCATAGGTGAGGCCCCATTATCTGCGTCGCGAATAGCAGTTACGCTAAGTAGCCGAGGTGAACGACAGCTCATTGTTTCGGGTAATGGAGGGAGTGGTTGAGGGGGTACAATCAAGAGTAGGATTTGGGAGCGCGCTATCAAAATGGGTGGTGATTGCATTTTGACAGGCGATGACCACCGTTGATCGTTGGGTTAGTCTATTATGTGTTGTCGGGGCATTATGGTTAGCTACGAGCATGTGTGCGGGCCTGGCAGTTACTATAGGTAGTCACGTAGGTTACGTCAAATACAGTTGCGATGTTTACTGAAGGTAGCAAACATAAACGGCATCGAGTAAGTATGAGTATGACGATGAATAGCCAAGTTAGGTGACTTCGAGTACAGTTGTGAGTATAACAGGCTATCCGATTAGGCTATCACCCACAGCTGAGTCCTTGTTTTTAACGGTCGGCATATATTGGATCGATGTTTACTGTAGGTAACGAAGATAAGCGGCATCGCGTATAGTTGAGGGTATGAAAGACCTTCAGCTTTATACTCAGTGTTGCACATAGCCACAGGTCTTGCAATTACGATAAGCATCCAAGGTAGGCGATATCAACTGCAGTTACGAGTTTGACGGGCACCCGCTGGTCGTTAAGGTGTCACGCATAGTTGGAACCTGGTTTCTGTCGGCCCGCATAGATACTGGCTTGGTGTTTACTGTAGGTAGCAGGCAGGTGCTACAGTGAAGATCGGTGTTTAACACTGATTTCATGCTCTTCATGATGAAAGTGGCAGACATAAGCGAGAGCGCGCATATATATGGGTATGACGGGCCAACGTTGGCCGTTAAATCAGGACCCTTCGCATAGCTAAGGCCTA